AAAAAAAAAAAAAAAATGAAGGTAAAGTAAACCTAATTGCCTGTAAACATTTGGCTTTCGAATGTCAAATTAGAAGGTAGAAAAGGCAGTAAAACTCAGAATTAGTAATAAAGTTCGACCACATTATTTGAATTCCTGTCAGCCAGATGGACACTAAAGTTTATGCTAATAATTCGTCCAAACGATTCGGTTGATGAATGATATGTCAGAAAATCTAGTTGTCATTGGAAAACCAGCTTCTTGCCGGCGCTTTTAAAAGCCGCTTCTTCGCACAAAAGCTACAACGCTGGAATTGAAAGCAGAAATCTATAGGAACTGGTCACTGAAAAAAAACTCAAAACAAAAAACTTTGTTCGAGACCGCGTAAAACGGTCCCGAACCTTTTATCCTTTCTTACTGGTTTGGTAGTCCTTGGTCGTTGATGCGACAACCAGCATGATAGACCACTTGGCAGATTTCCAGGCCGATAGTCTTTTGCAGCAAAAAACCGGTTCCTACCATTGGGCGTTTAAAGCTTCGTTTTGGTAGGTTGCTTCCCGTGGTGTTGAGAGCTGTATAAGTTTTACATGGAGATGTTCCCTCAGAATATTTATATACTTGTTAAGAGTGATGTATGCATACTTATAATTTTTAGCGTGTAGGATTAAGTATCAGATGGTTTTTTTAATCATCAGGAGTTCTTGGTCGCTAGAGATTCATTACCGGTGGTTATTTTGTTGCTTAAAATGATGGCAATGATCATCGAATGTTACTTTATATACAACAATTTCTTAAGTAAACGCATGAAAAATTTAATAAGCAACATACGTATTTACTTTTTTCAAGTGTTTGAAATCTTACACATCAGAATGCTATAAATGGAGCAATTAGTGGTCTGTCACGCGCAATTTTTTTTCATTTGTTGCACCTCAGTTTTTGAAAGCGTTCGATGGCGGCAAGTGTAATTCTTGGCACCTTTAAACCCATTGAACTTCTCTTTACCTTTTGCTTATTTGTAGCTCATTTATTAAGTTTTTATCGAGCCACATTTTTTTTTTTTTATTGCAAGGATGCATGAGCATAAAAAAAAGAAGCAGTTGTTAAATGGGACATCCACAGATGGTTTGAGGGAATTCAGTGACATCTGGAACAATAAGAGGTAACGTCAAGTTCGCATTTTAAGGCTCTTAGTTGGTTTTACCAGTCAGTTTATTGACTGTAGTTAAATAAGTGAGCAAAAGGCTTTCTTTTTTCTGCATTTCCTGAAGAAACGTCGGACTTACTGGAACCATAATTTGAATGCTTCAAAAATTTTTGGCCAAACTTTCAATTTCCTTTTGAATTGTGTATTAACAGATAGTTTTCATGGTTTTTTACGGCTTTGTTTACTTTTCTTAATGAAATCAGCGTCAATAATAAAAGTACCACTGGCATACCATTTGTGCTTTTTGCAGTTAATGGAGGATTTTTCTTAAGCAGATTGGCAAATTCCAGAATGATATTTGATTAAAAACACATGACCTGAAATACTTACTCGGCCTCTTACAGCGAAAGATTTGTTGCATTGGTACGCACAGTTGTTACTCGAGTTCGTGCAGAAAAGTAGAACGATAACTAGTCAGAATTGTTGAGTTTTGTGAGTAAATGAACCGGGGAGTCAAGAAGTAAAAAGTATGCCGCTGGTGAGTAAAATCCATTGAATAAAATTCATTTATTTTGTGAAATTCTCATACACAAAGCATGCGATAGCCAAGAATTATTTCTCTTGCTTTGTCTCAAATGAAAATTTGTTGCTTTTTCAGTAGTACTCAAGATATACACTCAAAGAGCTTAATTCTAAGGACCGCCATCTTTACCTTAAAATCAACTTTTTCAACTCATAAATAGGCTGATTCTAAAAGCAACGAATCAACAAAATGGTCATATTTTTTGGTTAAGGATTTGAGTTAGGAAGGTTGAAAATTTACTGAATGGCTTGTCTACACATCTTTTATCAAAGGGTACAGACAGAAGTTGCAGCTATTAGTTTAAGAGATAATGAAAAGAAAGTTTCATAATAACTAACTTCCATCAGCAGTGTGATTCCAATGATCGAAGAGTCGCCTTATAAAGCCATTCCCGTATAACTCACCGAGTGCTAAATCTCGGGTCAAAAAATTAGGAAATTTTTTCAAACGATGGTTTGACTCTATGGCATTAACTGCGTGTCTTCAGAACGCTGTTGATGTTGGTACAGTGAAACTAGGAAATAATCTTTTTTTTGTTAAAAATTATCAAAGTGAAGGGGATCTGTCCTACTCGAACTGTGAACCGGAAAAATATGAAGAAAACCATTTTACAAACAGTTTTAAAACATTTTAAAGCAATAGACAAGTATGCTGTCACAGAATCAAGCATGGTGGATGGACGTCAGAGCGAGCGAAAACCCAAATTGTTACGCTCACGAACTTCATCGAGTTATGAGTAACATAGCGGCTCCAGCCAACGACTTCGCATGTTTTTTTAGAAGTTCAATTTGGTTCTGGAAACGTTCAATCTAAAAAATTACTATACTATCAATTATTTTACAAAGATACCAAAAATAAACCCAGTAAACTTGGAATACAGCTTTTCTCAGTTGCTTGTCGATCTGACGCAGTTGGCGGAATCCTCGTCACACAAATGGCAGGTTCTCCAACAGCAGGCTGGAGACAAAATTTCATAGAAACTTCTTCTTTTTACAACTCATAATGTCAGTCGAAACTTAATTTTATCAACTATAGAAAAGTTCGTCTCCGATTTGGTACGAAAATTTCTTTGCTGATAGTGGAGAAAATGGAGTGGTGCTTTTGGATGATCGCCATGGAAAATTTCGGCCTGAATCTAGTAAGACGTTTTCCGCTTAGACTTTGAGCTTATGTAGT